TAAGAGTAGTAAAGGGTGTCCCACATCAAGTTGCATCCCGGAAAAAAAACCCATTGAGTATATTCTCTTGAAAATTTGAGTAGAAGTAGTTTGGAGTGTATTGTTTACACTTTATTTTTATCACTATCAGTTTTTCGAAAGTTGAAAAAATTGGCGTCACCCGAAATGCAAAGTCGCAAATTGATTTTGTGCAAGCACCTAGAAAATCCTCAACTATCTCATTGGGACATCGGAAAACAACTCGGAATCGTGCAGTCAACGGTGAGTCGTGTGATTAAACGTTACTACGAAACTCTGAGCATCGAACGGAAGGAGAAATGCAGTCAGAATGGATGTTCTATTAGTGATCAGGATCACAAGCGTGTTATGAAAGCGTTTAAGTGAAATCCAAGGATGTGGCTAAAAAGTTGAATCTGTCCAAGTCTTTCGTTCAGAGAGCCAAGGACTGGGAGAGAATGCACACGTACAAAGTGCAGAAGGCTTCAAACGGAGTGCTCCGTTCATGACTACCGAGACTGTAAACGGGGAGATCTAACTCAAGGAGTGTCTACAGAAGCGTCTGCTTCTGTCCTGGAGTGGTACAAAGCCAACAGGGTCACTTACGCACCGGAACTAAGGCCCATCGAAACATACTGGGCTATTATGAAGCAGGCACTATGAAACCATCCCAAGAAGGTCACATCTGAGGAAGACATGAAGAAAAACTAGGTTTCCGTGCACAAGAAACTGCAGCCAGATGTTGTACAAAACCTAATGAGAGGAGTTAAGTGTAAGGTGCGAATATACGGTTATGGTATTGAAGTTGAATGAAATAAATATGCCAAAAGCTTACTATTGTGTTACATTTTACTGTCTGAAAGAAGGATCGGCCAACTAGATAATTTTCTACAGCGTTTTTTTCCGTGATGCAATTTGATCTGGGACACCCTTTATTATGCAATGTTGGAGCTGAGAAAATGTTCTATGTATTGATGATATACTTATCAAAAGGCTAAATTACGCTCTGTGGAGCAAAATGGATACAGTAATCCCTTCATTTATGCGGTGAGTGGTATCGGCCATTGCCACACTCGACTGTCCTTAAACCGATTTCGCTGATTTTGTGTAAGTGATTAGTGTCAACCATATACTAGTCATCAACAGAAAATCAGCTCAATTGGATGAAGGACAGCCGAGTAATAGCGGTGGGTGGACGGTACCACCCACCGCATAAATGCAGCGATTACTGATATTTGAACCAAGGTTGCAAATACTCATTTCAGCTAAAACAGTGTTTTTTTTAATTATGAATTAATAAGATGCTATGATCATATTTGGAATTGGTAAAGGGCGAACACGAAATTATTGCGACACATTCAACAGGGCATAACTGTTTTACCATTGAGTAAAAATCAACCAAATTTTGCACACTTTCTCATTGATGTGTATTGTGTACATGCTGTCAAACTCGAAGTCGTGTTTTTCGATTCAACGAAAATGGAGGTGAACTGACGCGAGTTGAGAGAACAAATTCTTTCCAAACACCTGGAATTTCCTGACCTGTCGCACCGGCAGTTGGGAAAAATGTTGAACATTCACCATTCAACCGTCTCCAGAGTGTTGAAGCGGTTCCAGGAGCGGTTGACGTTGGACCACAGCAAAGGAGCTGGAAGAAAACCGGGACCGGAGAACAAAAAGACGGAGGGAAAGGTGAAGCGGATGATTAAAGCAAATCCCAACGTCTCAAGCCGTGATTTGGCCAAAAAGATCGGCATGTCGCAGAGCTACGTCCAGAATGCAAAGAAGAGAGCTGGACTACATACATACAAGGTACAGAACTTCCCAAACCGCGATGAGTGGCAACAATCGACGGCTAAAACTCGGGCACGGAAGCTCTACGAGAAGATGCTGACAAAATATGGCTGCTGTGTGATGGACGACGAAACGTATATAAAAGCCGATTATAAGCAAATTCCGGGGTTGGAGTTTTTCACCGGCAAGAGCAAGTTCGATGTGGACGACAAATTTAAGAAGAAAAAAATGTCGAAGTTCACCTCCAAATATCTCATTTGGCAGGCCACTCTTGCGGACTGAGGAGTGAGCCTTTCGTGACAAAGGGCACAGTAAATGGCGAGATCTACAAATCTGAGTGCCTCGAGAAGCGCCTTTTGCCGTTCTTGCAGCAGAACGACGAAGCTCCGCTATTTTGGCCAGATTTGGCATCATGCCACTATTCTAAAAGTGTCCTGGAGTGGTATGAGGCCAATTCTGTCCATTTTGTTCCAAAGGACATGAATCCGCCAAACTGTCCGGAGCTGCACCCGGTGGAGCAGTTCTGGGCAATAATGAAGCGGGAACTTCGGAAGAGCAAGAAGACAGTCAAAGACGAGAAGGACATGTTAAGAAAATGGAAAAAAAAACTGAGAAACTGGTACCGGATGACACTGTAAAGACTTTGATGGAGGGCATCAAGCGAAAATGCGTTCAATTTTACACTCAAGGCTCCATCGATTAACTTTTCTTTTGATTTTTGAAGTAAATATATGTATAAAACTACCCTAAAACTTTGGTTTGATTCTAAACATTATAAGAAAATTGGCATGACATTTTCGGTGTCGCAATAATTTCGTGTTCGCCCTTTAAGATACAAGAAGAGGTTGCAAAGAATGTGTTTGACATATTAAACCTGTTTATTTCACTTCATGAGAGTCACAATCGGCGATTTTTCACACACTCACTCACTCACTCAGCGATCAGCAAATCGCTGATTGTGACTCATAGAAAGCAAAATTTACAGGTTTTATGTTTCAAACACATACTTTGTAACCTCTTCTTGTAAGTTACAAGTAAAACATGTCATCATACCATCTTTTGGTTTTATTATTCCGAAAAACATTATTTTAGCTGAAATGAGTATTGGCAACGTTGATTTGAACCAGCCTTATCTCAGCGCTGGTGGTGTTGTGGTAAGCGTGATTACCTCTCATCCCAGCAGGCCTGGGTTCAATCCCAGTCAGCGCCGCCGGGATGTTCTGAGGCATAACATCTCTGATCACGCCTTCCTTCGGAAGGAAAGTAAAGCCGTTGGTCCCCGGTTTATGAGTTGATGGGTTAATAGGCAGGGTCCAGGTGTGGGAGCTGCATCCCTGGTGTCGGTAGCATTGGTGCGCAGCACGGAAAACAAGATCTACGGAAAACAAGATCGACGGAAAACAAATCAAGGAAAAAAACAGCCTTATTTATATTTTACCATTTTAATTCCACACAATTCCTTCTTTTCTTGTTGAGTCACCCATAGATTTTATCATACCAGCCACTCAACTATGAGTCGATGTAAATTCCTACTGAAACGTCATATCGAACAAGAAGAAAAATTACATTCCCATTAATTTGCTCCTGCAAGACCACCACGCTGTAGTCTTAATATAAATAACTCTGTACAAGGTACCACTCCGGCGAGTCGCTACATTGAAGATGGATAAAGTAATCATAAATTCCCCGTACACTGTCCAATGACGCGATAACGATAATCGTAACAAAATCATAACAATTAAATCTGACTTATCTTAATAACTTACTGCATTGAACTAACCGTCCGCGGACACGTTCCCGGCCCAATCGATAACGCGTGATCGCCATGCAGCCTCCTGTCCCGATACAGATTGCAGCGACAAAAACGGGATTTTCCCGCGGTAGCATAAGCCCCCTGTCCCAGCCCAGCGCGTCCGTCATGAGTTGGCTACTTATCGGACCGCATGTTGTCTGTCCACCTATTATAATCGACATCATCCTCATCAGCATAAACATTATCATCACCATTTTGGTGAATGGCGGAGCAAAAAGCGAACACACAGCGGCGGCGCGTAAATTATTCTACACGCATAAAAGTCTGCTCTCCTCCGAGATGGTCCAGTAGTTTCAGGTCTTTTTTAGCTCGTTCGGACTACTGACTGGTTCCCACATCCCCGTCAGTGTTGGCAATCACTGCTTATTCTGGTGCCATGCTACTAGGCATAGTGCAATCGGGTTAAGCATCATCGTAATAATTGCCATTATTGCTCGATGCAGTTATCGCTGGGGAACCAAAGCTGCCTGTCGATCCACTTCTTGAAGAGGCAATTCCTTGTGGCAATCTAGAGGAAGGTAGAAAAAAAACAGGACTAATAAATTATTCAACGACTGGCTGGAAATAACTGAGAATTGGCTGCTGTTGCAACATAGGCCTTAATTAAGAACTAGAAAAATCGCAGCACCGCCAGAAGATAGATGTGACACCGGTTCCATCCAGATGGTCTTGAGATTTGTGACACTTCTCCGGACGGAAGGGTAGTTAGCAGCAGTGAAATGGTAGGAGATGGGTGGAGTTCAGCGAGCTTTTTAATTAATTTCTGAACGTTGCACTGATGGTTCGCTGGTTGATTGTCACTTGTGTGGATGAGCTGATGACGGTGCCACTGAAATTGAATTGATTAATAATGCATACAGTGGTTCCTTACCGAATCCACCTATGGTAAGAACAAACTCTTCTTTGAAATTTCATTTCCGACAAAAGTTCTCAAACTCGTCTTCGATGTCCGACATCTTGATAATAAAGTCAATGGAATGGGTTACTCAATACCCAAGTAACCACCAAGCTCGTTAATATCCCGATAAGGGTCCTTTTCTAATAGAAGGCTGATATACGGCTATAGATATTTATATCAGCCGTAAAACAGCAATATATTACACTTTTTGCATTAGTGAGCTTGATCGTTACTTGGGTATGTGAAATTTAATACAACGCAGTCGACTTAATTCTTAAAGAGCAAACACCTTCAAAGCTACCCTCACATACGGTAATACACTAATCCTATTATAACGTCATGAATTTGCAAAAACACAATCGCATGAATTCTAACGTATGATTCCCCTGACAAACCCATTAATTGATGCGTGATTGCACGAACCACTATCTTATCAGTTTACGTCAAATGTTTAGCTCAGTGCTGATAGTTCGCAAGTCAACTGAATTCGTTTCGCTCAATCACTTTGAGCACTTGTTCACTCAGTTCAGTCCCGCAGTTCCGTTCAAGATGAGTCTTCTTAGCGCTCTGAGGAGCGGCATCGAAATCGTCGACGATTCCGTATCGTCCCGGGACCTAGTCAACCGACTGGTCGACTTGGGACCACAGGAAGAACCGCTGCATCTGACCGAACTGGACACACTGGTAAAGCGACACTACGAATGGATGCAGTATTTGCCCCGGGTTGATACGTACTATGCAGTCAAGAGCAACGACGAAGCGTCCCTGGTAGCGGCAACGGTTCTGCTGGGATGCGGATTCGATTGTGCCTCGATGGCAGAAGTTCGTCGAATATTGGATCTCGGAGTCGATCCCAAGAAGATCATCTTTGCACAACCGCATAAGACAATCGCTTCGTTGAAGTTAGCCAGCGAGAACAATGTACGGACGGTGTTTGATTCCGAAACGGAACTGCAGAAGATTCGCCAATACTATCCGGAAGCAGAGTAAGGTTAGGGAATTTTTTTTTTATGATGCACTTGCTTAAACCAGTCGATCATTACAGAGTACTCATCCGCTACCGATTTGATTCTAAAAAGGCGAAGATCGCTTTGGGGTCGAAGTTTGGCTGTGAACCCGACAAGGAATCTCGCAAACTACTTGACCTGGCAAAGGAGTTGGGTGTCAACGTGGTTGGTTGGTGCTTCAATGTTGGTTCGGGATGTAGCGATATGGACATCTTCTATGACGCCATCAAAAAAGGGCGTGAAATCCACGATTACGCTTCTTCAATCGGGTTCAACTTCAAGATGATTGATCTTGGTGGTGGATTCTTTGGCGACAAGGACTGTGGGATAGCTCCCTATGCGGAACACATAAACCGGGCCTTGAAAGAATTCTACCCTGAAGAGGAAGGTATCTACGTTTTTGCCGAACCGGGTAGATTCTACTGCGCAGCGGCTGTCACGGCTGTCATTCCCGTTCATGGTAAACGTGTCTTCTGGAACGAGAAAGATCCTCTGAAAATTGAACACATTTTCTACTACTTCAACGATGGAATGTACGGTACATTCTACAGTGCCAAGTATCGTAACATGCCGGTGGATCCAATAGTTTGGAAATCCAGAGGTAACGATGAATCGACCTACAAGACTTCACTGTTCGGTCCCACTTGCGATGGGAGCGACTTTTTCGCAAAAGATATCGACCTTCCGGAGCTGCAAGTCTCGGACTTTGTGGTATTCGAAAATCAGGGAGCCTACACGAGGGTCCATTCGTGTCGATTCAATGGATTCTGTTTGCCGAAGGTGCTGAACTTCATGCGGAAGAGTACATGGTAGGGATAGGTGAACTTTGGTCGGAAATGTTCATAATGTTTTCATTTTTGTTTTTTTTTTGTTTTAGGCAACTTTTTGAGGAAATTTCAACCTCTTCGAATCCAACGCAAGTCGTTCAGAACTCAACATATCTACGATGCAACAACAAAATTGAACATCTTACCTTTAGACAGTATTGATGAAACGTTATATTATGATCGTTAAAACCGGACCATGAATTGACAATAACAATATTGAATTAAAAAATTAATGCTCTCACTGTTTGTCGTTGTTCCGTCTCCATAAGCCCTTTGTCTGTGGGTCAGCCTCTCCCAACTAACATTGTCAGCTTTGTAAGCCAACTTTTCCAGCGTTGTGCTGTAAAGTAGCTGAAAAGAAGCTGCAGATACAGCTATAAGCAAAAGCTAGCAAAATAGTTTTGGAGAGCGTTTACTCAACTTTCTCACAACCATTATTCAATTTGTCAGTCGCACTGAATAACATCAGCTAATAAACGCTAATGTCACTTCTACACACACACTAATCAACTTTCTACTTGTAGCTGCAAAACAAAGTTAACAAAGTGAATATATTACTCATTTGATGGCTTCTACACAACCAACCACTCTTGCTGAATAACATAAACATCAAAATTGCTTTTTCAACAACTAAACAACCTGTACTCAGCTTATAAACTGTGTTAGAGCAGCTTCGGAAGCATTTTCACAGTCAACTAGGTTTATTTTTAGACGTGTGCAGTTTCATAGCTTTTACTCTGCTGTTTTATAACTAGTCGAGAAAAGTGATTCATGTGCACTATTATAAAGCCTCTACTCAGCGATTTTGTTGTAGAAGGGAATGTTGATTTGTTTACACAAGTTCAAAGTGTTGGCGTAGCACAGTTGGTAGTGTCAAGGTTTGCCAATGAGGTCGTCTCGAGTTCGATTCCAGGTTCCAGTGCAGGGTAAATAATTTGGTGATGATTTGTAACTAATTTCGATTAATTTGATTCACAGCAAAATAAACTCAATAAATTCCTTCATAAAAAAGCGTAAACAGTATTTAACCCTTGAAGCCGGGAGAAAGCTGTGTAGTGATTATTGGATAACCGGGAAAAGGTTGAATAAGCGCCTTTCAAGTTCACACACAACTAAAACAGCAGGATAACAGCTGTATAGAAGCGTTAATGGATATGCATGCAATAAGAGCTTCTCCCGACCGTTCCAACAGCCATAAGTAGCTGACTAAGTTCGCCAGATTTGCTTGTATAGAGGTTGAGTAAAGGTTTCCTCATATCGTATAACGTTTGAATACAGCTTGAGACTGTATAAATGAAATGAGTAAAGCGTTTACATTGTGAAAATTGTTAGTTGGGTTGTGAAAATTGTTAGTTGGGTTGCGCCCGAACACAGGTCAAGAAAAGAAGGGGTAGGAATGTGTTGACGTGACACTCGCTTTGATGGAAGCGGAGAACACCTCTGCACTTTCACGAGGAATCACTGGGATATTGGGTTATAGCCCCCCCCCCAAAATTATTATAATCATGTGGAAAAAAAATCTGACCCAAGATAATAGATATCTGTTACCTGTACTGTACAGGTAATAGATATCCATTACCTGGGTAAGGTTTTTTTTATTTTTCATATTATATTAAAATAATTTATGGACGAGGCTTCAGGCCTATAGCCCCCTCTAAAATGAGACTCGGGCTGTACCTATATAGTGTGCATGAACAATTTATGTTTGCAGCGATTCTGTTAAAGATCATGGGACCATTTTTATGAAAGATCAGTCTCGTTTCACTTCCGTAGGAACTAGGGTGTAAACCCAATTTGTAGCCTTCTAAACACAATCCGCACTGTACCCCTCTTTTTCAAGCAGGATTTCATACAAAATAAAATGTTTCTACAACAAATGACTTCTTAATTTATTTACCTTTCCATATGTACCATTGGATTTAATAAAGAGTCACACATTGTTTCTATTTCGATTTTAACTCTTTAATTGTTCAAAATTCAAAATAAATTACTTTTCGTTTTAACCCAGGTGCTCAAGCCACCTAGTAACTTATCTGCTGTAATTTTTATGATATAAATCTAAGTGATTTTACATTGTTCCTGCCATAGAAATTCAGTATTTTAAACAGGTCTTCTAAACCTGCATGTCAGTATAACAATTCACATCAAAACTAAGAACTAAAACTATATCTTATCTATGTATAAAGGTAATTAATTCTTCAATTGCAACGATTTTTCCCTAAAATTATTAATTATTTTGTTGGACATTTCTAGATAGAGCTGGAATTAGGGCATAACAGCTTTTGCAAACAATGGCTTCTCTCGATGATTTTTCGAAAGACATGGCTCTTCCTGGCAAATCAACATTACCATCGAATAGGGGAAGACTTCCCCTACCCGATGGATAAGTTGATTTGTGTAGGGGTGCCTTGAGTTGCTAGAAATCGACGAGAGAATTCATTGTTTACAAAAGCTGTTACGCCCTAATTCCAGCTCTATCTAGATTTGTTCTAAAGTCTCAACATTCGAAAATCTATGTACTTCGGTAGTACTGTACCAGGGAGGCAATTTCAAAATCATCTTTAGAACTTTGTTCTTAATCCTTTGAAGTTCTTTTTTCCTGGTAGTGCAAGATCTAGACCATATTGGCATAGTATAAAGCAGGACCGGTCTAAAAACTTATTTAAATATTAGAAGTTTATTCTTCAGGCAAAGTATGCATTTTCTGTTTATAAAAGGATACACACATCTTATATATTGTTACCATCCTAAATGGTAACATTTTGTATTTTTATTTTGTGTGGGAACGTAGGGCACCATTTGTTCAGCAAACTTCCAATTTAAATTGCGAACGGTAGAACCGATAACGATTGTGGGTGACGAGTGAAGTCAGCTGCAGTAATTGGAACGGAAATGTGGTAGCGAACGAGAGAGCTGAGTGGTGTGAGTGCGACTATGGGTGGATGGTGAGGAGGATAGAGAGTTCGAGAGGGTCGGTGTGTAGCGTTGCCTCTAGGCAGACGTGCGGTGGAATAATGGTAGAGACGGTAGTGGACGGAAGATGCGAAGCACGAGGTTCGCGTCACGACAGGAAGATGAAGATCGTTGGTTAGAGGACAGAACGACGCCATCAGACAGCGACTATCAGATCATCGTCCGCAAGCCACCGCCATCAGGCCACCGCCATCAGGCCACCGCCATCAGACCACCCTTATCAGGCCACTGTTATCAGATCACCGTCATCCGGTCACCGCCATCTAGGCACCACCATCCGGGCACCGCCATCCGGGCACTGCTACCAGGCCACCGCCAGCAGGCCACCGTCATCCGGTCACCGCCATACGGCCACCGCCATAGGGGTGCTTCCCTAAGGCTGCTACCATACGGTATTGGGCTGCCGCCATCTGGTCCCCAACATCCGGCTGTCATTAACAGGCCGCCACCATCTAGACAATACCAAGCTCATCATATTGGTTCGCATAACAAATAAATGTAAGGTAAATTCTACTTTTATAGTTGGATAGGAATTCCCCACAATCCGAAAGCTTCCCCACGCAAAAACGCCCTGGGACCCGGAACCAAAAGAGGCCTTGAGTGCCCATCCCAGGAGCTGCCGTTGGCTTAAGACCATCAGCTCGGGGCTTAGGCTGGTTCCCTTCTGGGATTAAGCGGTTCCGGGGCCATAAGAGTTTCAATATTTATTACATCAATATCAATGTGATCTTTCAACACAACCACTTTCAATAGGATCACGATCTAAATATGTGGACCTCATATCGGCTCTTAATCATGCGAACAGTATAATACAGGTTTTTAAGGAGAGACGAGTTGACGCTGAAGCAAAATTTGCTGAAATTTTTAATGCAACCTCAAAGCTGCATATGTCTGTTTTCGAATGCGCAGTTACGACTACATCCACGTGCATCCAAGCAAACAATACGTGCAAATCAATCAGTAGAAACACCAGAGGAATACTATCGAAGAGCAGTTTTCATTCCATGACTCGATGAATTGATCCAAAACATGATGGGACGTTTCACAAAAAATGATGACATCCTTCCGGTGTTCCAAATATTGTTGCCTGGTTTTACAGATATTGGAGAGTCATCCCAACTTGACAAACTTAACTGTTATCTCTGTGATTTCACCAGCGTGGTTGCCAGAGTTGCGACCTATCACAATCACGATCGCCAAACAGTTGATGGTAGTAACGCTTTGTACATTTCTATCAATGTGCTCGTCGAAGCTGACCATCCATCAAGTTGACGAAAGGAGTAAAAAGCAACTGGTGAATGTCGTCTTCTGTTGTGATCCATCACCGATCTGGTCATTCCCGACAATCACGACACTCATCTGTGCTCGTTTTGAAGCAGTTGCTGCTTTGCTTGCTTATTTGAGTGTGTTGGTGAGTGAGCCCAACAGCTTCCGTTTCATGTTGCCTGCTTTGTTTGTAACTCACACAGTCGCACCTGCCGAGACGAATTTAGAATGCGTAGTTTCATTTTCTTCTGTCGTTTCGCTTTTTCTCATCATCGTACTGCAGAATTCTTCACTGTTTTCGTTGTGCTTTTCATGATCAGCAGCGAGTGTAACGTTTTGCTTGTGAGCAGCGACCATTACTGGTGATTGTTGTTTGCCATAGCTCTAACTCTCAGAGCGTGACAAAACGATCTGTCAGCGATAGTCGGTTGATGCGAAGACGAGTGTCACGTGAGTGTCATGATATTTTGCATCACTGGCTGGTTGCAGGTAAAGGTGGAATACGAGCTCTGGTGCCGGACATCCATAAATATTAACAAGAATTTTGAGGTATTTGGGCTGCTTGATAAATGTGACTCGACGTATTTTCCAACAATCAATGTTTTGTTGAAAATTTTGTTGACACTACCGGTCACTACAGCCAGTGTGGAAAGATCTTTCTCCACACTGAAATGAATTAAACTAATGGGAAACCAGCGACTTTCAGGCTAGGCTATAATATCAATTAACTGCTTAGAGTAAAGCTAGAAGATTACTTTTGTAATAACCAGGTATAATGTCCGGGATATGGTTCTACGTTGTGTTTAATTTGTTGCTCAGATTTTTGGACAGCAGTTTGGAGATAGGCAACTGATTCAAATGAAGTAAAAGAATACATTTCTCATTCACTATTTATTGCCTCATTCAGGCAGCACCCTGATCGG